CCTGTCAATTCGTTAACGGGCAGACAAATGTTAAGAGTACGAGCTCGACTCATCGTGCCTAAAAATAAGGATCTCGATTCTATATGAATAATTCCGTTGCATGCGTTATTGTAGTGATTAGTTACATTTCTAGTTGTATTTTTGGTAAACATATAAAAATGTCTTTTTGATTATTTTACAATATCTTGGCTATTCACGAAACGTGAGAAGCAGATGATCCAATAAGAAATCGATTTATTTATTGATAATCGTATAAGATTCATTAATTCTTTATTCTCTATTGGATGATCAAAACTTCTTCGAAGTCGGTCTAGTAAGAATTTAAGACCCGCTTGTACAGCACTTATACTTCTTTGAATTTTCCAAGAAAAGCAATTATAAATGACCTTTTTTGAGAAAAAGGAAAGGATCGATAGAATTGAAGGAAAGCAACAAAGTCTTATCTTGTCCGTTGCTGATGTTGGTAAACCCACTATATCATTACAGTACCTGTCTGACGTTTCTCCAGGGGTATTTACGCAGTAAAATCATTAATGAGGGGCATTTATTAGTTCGAATATAAAGTTTCTGCAACTATATAAGAATTCAAGCTTTCATTATTATTCTCCCAGTTGTTCAAAAATATCTGAAAATTCAGAATTTCTCAGGAGCCTATTAATGAGGGGCATTTATTAGTTCGAATATAAAGTTTCTGCAACTATATAAGAATTCAAGCTTTCATTATTATTCTCCCAGTTGTTCAAAAATATCTGAAAATTCAGAATTTCTCAGGAGCCTATTAATGAGGGGCATTTATTAGTTCGAATATAAAGTTTCTGCAACTATATAAGAATTCAAGCTTTCATTATTATTCTCCCAGTTGTTCAAAAATATCTGAAAATTCAGAATTTCTCAGGAGCCTATCCTGAACCATTCCGAAGGTAACAAAACCTAGTTTTCTCGAAATATTGTTATTTTCTTGAATTCATTTGTGGGTTTATGTGAAGTACGATGTATCTTTAATTCAACATGATTTTGGATAATTTTATTTGGATTTGTAGAATTCTTCTGACCTCGAGTTCAATTTCTATAAATTCCTTTTTCCATATGTTTAAATACCTTGATACTTTATTCTTCATATGCCCGCTTGATGTTTGCTCCCTTGAGAACCCCAGTCTTAGACTGATTTAAACGGATTGAGTAACTGTCTGTTATTGATTCTTTGTTTTGTTCTTACAAATTTTGTCTGGGATGTTGAAGGAACAGGAATTTCCATTGGAAATGGTATTTAATTGCATTTTTATTCAGTTCTGCTGTATGTTTAACTCGAAATCCTCTGCAAACATATTGAGAGTTCAAATTTTCTTTAATTGATGTGTATATAGTTTGTCGGCTGCGAATATGATGTGACTTTTTGTTTCAGATGCACAAGATATTATCATTATTCTAACTACAAACATCATTCACCACATAAGGGTTGAGTGAAGTTTCATTTATTTACACAACTGCCTTTTTGGTTATGATTAGAGCTCCAAGCCAACCTCAGTCAAAAAATTAATGGTTCTGCTTACGTTCTAGTTAGAGTACCTAGAAAATCTCCATTAGAAAAGCTAATGGTTGTGCTTATATGGTTGATGAAAGCTTGATATGTCTTATTTTATATACGTAAAACACAATTTTACCAAAAGAAAGGAGAAAGAGGAGGAGAAAGCAAACTTCGTGAGGTCTTTTTCTTTCTTCTCACTGACATGGGGTCATGTGGGGTCAGTTGACACCACAAAAATTTCTGTTAATTTAAATATAAATTTGTCCAATTGTTTATTTTCAAGTCCATTAATTGGTATTTCACCTATCCAAGTCCATTCTCTCCATTCCTTCACGCTTTGGGATTTTCTTTCTTGTGCTAACTTTGTATCTTTTTTCTGTTTAGGTAACAAATCGACCCCCTACTTGTTTGATTTTACATATTTTTATTCTAAAATTCAACTACAATCCCCAATTCCCCATCGCTTATTAGTTATTATCTAGTCTACAAGAAAAAGCATAAACATCTAAACAAGTCGGCACTGCCATATTATGGAAATTATCAATATAGAATTTGGATAATTTTTTTTGTGATTATTTGATGTCTTTTGGAGAATCATGCATTTATCCTTATCCGGACAAATTATGGGTTTGGATCTAATTGTTGCAACTATAAATAAGAAATTAAGAAGACAACTATAAAA